CATGTCCCAGAGAGAATCCTTAGAACAGAGTTGTTGTTTCCATTCTAGTTCTGATGTTAAAAATGCTGGCCATAGCACACCCACACCCCCCCAAGGCTCTCATTTGTAGGATCTCAAGGATGCAGCTCCCATTTTTGGGTGCAGATACAGAATGCAGTAACACCATGAATCACCCCAGGACAGGAGCAGTGAAAGCAGTGCCAGCTCTCAATACCCCCATGCTGTGAGTTAATACCTGAAAATTTGATCCAGATTTTGTAACTGGGCTAGGAAAAGGTTTGTGGTGCTACCTCAGATGAATGCCAGGTTTAAAATTTGCAGTGTTGTGCTAAGCCAGTTTCTCAGGATGCCCTGAAATTCAACGGTATCTCCTAGAACTGACTGCTAAGATCAGATTTCCTGATTTAGTGTCTGCCAAGTGATTGTCCAGCAGCTATTCAAAGAATTAAATTTAATTAAATTTGCTGCATAGGTGAAGCAAACCATAACTTGCCCATGAAGTCAGGGGTTTTTTATACTTTCCTCAGTATTTTTTTCCATGTCCTTGCCCCTTGGAATCCCAGTGCTATTCAGGCCATGCTCCATGCACTCTTGGGTGCTAGCCAGGATTCTGGCATGAGCCTTTGTTTGAAGAGCAAGATTCAAACAGGACTTCACACCACAGTACCAGTGAAACCACTGAAACCAGTTTGAATCTCATGGACATGTAGCTAAAAGTCTGATAACAAAAAAAATCATCTGTTCACAGGCAGTGAAGCACTTGAGGACTCCTGAGTTTAAGCCTTATGTTATCTTTGTGAAGCCTCTCATTTCAGAAAAGAAAAAACATGTCTTAAAATCTCACATGTCAGAAGAAATCTCATCCCCTCTTGTGAGTATTCCAACTTCCAATCTCTTGAAAGAAATATTTGGGGCTAGCACTTCTGTTACTTGAAAGAACTCCTCTTCCAAAACCAGAGTTAAAGTGGGGCACTAAGTAGGTCCTGTAGCCTTTCAGGTGCAACTTCAGAAAATGGAATTTTTGATTCCTTATCTCCTCAAGTTTTAAAGTAACACAAAGCCAAGTGCCAGTCTTCCATATTCACCTGGGTGCATCATCAAGGCTGCAGCAGGGGGAGTTGTGGTTATTAATTGTTGTGGTTTTGTTGTGGGTTTCAGGATGAGGTGAGAGATGAGAATTGACTCCAAGTTCTTAGAAGGCTGATTTATTATATTATGATATTATATTAAAAGAAAATGCTATACTAAAACTACACTAAAGAAAGAGAAAGGAGACATCAGAAGGCTAGAAAGGAATAGATAATAAAATCTTATGACAGACTCAGAGGGTCCAACACAGCTGGCTGTGATTGGCCATTAATTAAAAACAATCCACAGGCTGGTAAACAATTCTCTAAATCACATTCCAAAGTAGCAAAACATGGAGAAGCTGAAGCTTCTCAGGAGAAAAGATCCTGGCAAAGGTATTTTTCATAAAATATCACAGTGACAGGAAGTTGCTGCTGAACTCAGGTAAAACAACAATCATTTTACATTTCCTGTGAGCAGCCATCAAAAAGTAATTTTGTCATATTAGTGACACCCACACCAGTGTTTAATGGTGCACACACAAAACACAGGATGTGGATGTCTTGAGGATCAAACCTGGATCAGCTGCAGCTTGGTGATGTGTAAACCTGAACAGAGTGCATAATGGCTTTATTTATGATAACCTAAACTTAAATTTGTATATATATAAATATATATATATATATATCATAAATATATGTATGTTTATGATAACCTAAACTTAGTTCACTTGGTAAGTTTTTGTGTAAACCCTCAAAAATACTGAACTTGGGACAGTAGATGCATAATTTCTTTTCAGTTTTGAGGAGTGTGATTACCATATCTTGGGTTAAACTACATAAAATGAAGTATCACCATTTTCTGTCCCTCCTGTAACATATTTTCCCCCTTCCCCAAGGCCCTTTGTATTTTTTGTAACAGCTGCCTGTGGCATTCTGTTCCTTGATCTCAGTTTTAATGTCTTCAACACCTTTTCCTAATGGTAGCAGCTTTTGTTACATGTCCTCAGAGTAATGACTCATTGTGCTTTAAAATACTATATACTTTATATATATATATATATATATATAAAAGTATATATAAAGTATATATATATATAAAATTATATCTATTACTATATATAATAATGTATAGTAATATATACAATGCATATAATAGTCTTATATGTATATTTTCATGTATATATTAAAATAATGTATACATACTTTGAAGTACTAGAAGGACATGCTGTAAATTTCATACCAATATCTTGTTTTGATCAACAGGATGAAGAACAGCAGGAAATTCTGAATTCAGCAGCATTCATTGAAGAGCAGTACGGCCATTTAATTGACACTGTATTGGTGAAAGAAGATCTCCAGAGTGCATGTAATGAGCTGAAAACTGTGTTAGATAAACTGAACAAGGATTCATTTTGGGTGCCAGTCAGCTGGGTTAGGTCATAGCTTGTTACCATGTTTAAAGGAAAGAATGTATAAAAATGTTCTGTAAATACATGAATTAGAAAAGGGGAGTACATTGAATTTGCTTCAAAACTGCTGGTCTTACCTAGAAGGCAATAAATAAAGAATGTACGAGGAAAGATTAAACAAAGTCACAAGTTGACACTGCCTTTCTGAGTCAAATTTTGAATAGCAGCTGTCATTTAGAAGTTGATACTCAGACCAAATAAGCCAGTCCAGTCTTTTACTGATCTTTACACTGGAAATTGTGCATTTTGTTACAGTGGTGTTTCACAGAGGCTCCCACACTTCCAAAGCATTTTGTGCTGGGACACTGACAAGATGGAAGGTTTGTCCTTTGGCCACAAATTTTTGTGGCTAGATTTAAAACCTCAGAATAAAACCCCCCTTGGGAACAAGCTCCTTCAGCTGGGTGGGAAGTGTTCTTTGGAGAGAGGCTCAACAAGTTCAGCTGGCCAGCAAAACATGCTTCCCTTCACACAGAAGCATTAATTTCTAATCCTAATTAGGCACTAAAAACTAGGCCTGCTATAGGAGGGGTTTTTATGTCCATCACATTTTCCTGTACTCCAAATTATCTTGCACAGCTCACAGGTATTGTCTGTTCATCCACAACTTATGCTCACTTACCCAGTCACAAAAGCTGAACAACCTCTGAGGGTACCTTTAATTAAATTAAAGCAAATTTAATTAAATCCTAAAACACAGATTTTTATAGTGTACATGAAAACAGATGCAAATGGTTCTAAAACAGGACAGTTAAGAAGCTTTGGTTCTGCAAAACATCTGTGCTACATGGTGGGCCACAGCCTTGACACCAATGGAAAAGCTCCAAAAAGGGCACTCAAAGGAGGAGCCACAGGTCAAAATCATCATCCTTCCAGCATTTAGGTACTCAAAGGAGGAGCTACAGGTCAAAATCTTCATCCTTTCAGCATTTGTGACCACTTCTGTTCCAAATCTGGTAAAGGTTTCCAGAGCATCTAATTGGCCTGAAGAAGCAAACTCTTAAAGGACCTTGTAAATATTTAAGACTTGAATATAGAGTATTTCTGAGTGGGTCTTAGGAAGAGGCAGAGATGATTCTGGACGCAGCTGTGCTTTATCCTTGGGGGATTTGAGGGGAGAGCATTGTACAGGTGCATGGTAGCTGTAACTAGTTCCTGTTCTCACCTGCCTGCTGAGGTCTGGTATTTCCTGTGTATTAAACAAGACCTTTTGGTGATCCTTATATCCTAACACATAATGTTCTTCTTGTTCCATGACATTGAGCAGAACTAAAAGTTGCATATTAAAAGTACATTTCTTACATACCAGTGTCACTGAATCTACATTATGTCAAGCCCAGAAAGTTGTGCAGAAGAATCATCCCCATCCATCCTCTCCAAATGAGAACTTTCATGTGTGGTCCTGCCCATGGGCATTGAGGTTCTGTTCCCACAGCTACAAAAACAAGAATTTTTCCCTGCACTTGTCAGTGCTGCAGCCTGGTGACCTCAAAAAATGCTGAGGACTCCTCCACATGCAGTGGGCTGTCAGCTCTGCAACCATGTGCTACCAAAAAGGATTCTTAGAGAAGCAATTCATCACAGATGTACCTTGATCCTGTGAAAAACTATAGGAAATACTTCAAAAATTATTTCAGTAACAGCATTTCAAACTGAATCACTTTATGAAAATAATAAATGGCCAGATTGATCTCACCCTAGCTCTGTATTTCAGGTTACAAACTGATTTTTAGAGTCTGAAAGACATGAACATATTTAGAAGATTCAGATTTAAGTTAAAAAGCTAAGGGTCAGAATTTATTTAAAGCAAGGTTCCTATCATAACATCTTAAAATAATTTGCATGACTAGCAGTAAGTAAAGCTGTATGTTTGCTTTATTATCTAACAGAGTCTAATAGTAGAAATATGTATTAACAAAAGGCACAAGTGACATCTGAAATTTTAATTTATTTTAATCTAAGTTAGTAAAAATACAATATTGCCATTAAAAGTGTAAAAGACAAAAAGGTAACTTCATAGTGGGGTTGGTGACAGACACCCAAGTGCAAAGTCTCCCATAGGCAGCACATTTTCTGTGAAATTGAGTTTTATCAATTTCTGATAACATTTTTATCAATTCTGATAAAATTTTCAATTTTATCTGTGGTTTCTGGAAGAGAGCAAGGGTTTGCAGAGACTCTCAGTGACTGCAAAACCACAGCCCAAAATGATGAGTGCACCTTATCCCTGACCCTCAGTACAGCAATCACCACAGTGTCCTGCACTTTTCCTGACAATGTTAAAATACACATCCTCTTCATCACAGCCCCAAAATTAATCCCTGATCCTCAGTGCAGAGAGAACAGCAATCACCACAGTGTCCTGCACTTTTCCTGACAATGTTAAAATTCACATCCTCTTCATCACAGCCCTAAAATTAATCCCTGATCCTCAGTGCAGAGAACAGCACAGGGTCAACCTTCAGTGTCCTGCACTTTTCCTGACAATGTTAAAATTCACATCCTCTTCATACAGTCCCAAAATGAACCAGTAACTCAGCTTACTGTCTGGGCACATGTGATTGCAATTTTGACTTTTTAAAACCATCCAAAATCAGGAAACTCTGTCCACTGATCAAACTCCTGCTGAGTAACTACATGAAGGTGACTTGGGTGCCTCAAAGCCTCCTATGCCATCCAAGGCAAAAGAAGCTTCTCAATAATATTCCAGAATTTAATACCAATTAATTTATGCTGAGGCAGGAATTCCAGCAAAAGTCCATGCTGAATGTCAAACAGCAAAAGCACAATTCTCTAAGCAGCACTATGATTTAATAGTGAAAAATCTGAGAGCTACCAGAAAAATACCTGCAGGCAGCAGTTGTGCAAAAGGGAAGGAGAAACTGTATTTTGCTAATGAATAAAAATGTATTTTACTAATGAGTTTGTGGTTTGCATCTGCACAACTGATGGCACAGATTGGTGCTTGGAATCCCATCCCCACCCCTTTTTTTTTCCTCCAGTCAGGCAGAACAGCCAGCTGTACATTTAAATAAGGTCACAGTAGGCACCACATAACCCCTTATGCTGCTGTGCTGAAGATTCTATGAGCTGGATTCCCTTTTTCCCTGTGCCCTTATCCCAAAGATCTGGAGTCTGCAGGATCTTTATGACCAGCTCCTCAAAGGCATGGTGCACTCCATCCTGGGTCTTGGCACTGGTCTCTGAAGAAAAGGGGAAAAAATATTTTATCTTATTTGCAGAGAGTATATTCCACTTAGAAAAATGTATTTTGGGACCAGAGAGAAGATGGGAGTTTTTTAATGAGTGAACTTCCTCTTCTTTTTCTCTTAAATGTACACTTAAGTTGAATAGGATAAACAGAAATACATCCCAGTCTGAAGTATCGCATTTTTCCACCAAAAAGAAATCCACAGTTGCCCATTTTCTCCATAATGGAGAAAAAGAAATTGTTCTCAGGTTGTGACAGTAAATCTAGAAGATAATTATTCCACAACCAAACTGAGAAAGAATACAGAGGGAATTGCATGTTGTCCCCTATGTGTCTGAATTTCTCCTAGAAATCTTTTCAAGAAACTTTCTCTTTAGAAACTCCCGCCTTTATATCTTCACATTGTACATTTTATTGTTGCTCTAAGAATATTGTCATTTATGTAGCTGCAACAGAAACTTGGAAATGAAAGATCAGCCAATGTCCTTGCAGACATCAGTAAGGAGGAAAATTTCAGTCTTCTGGGCTCTGAATTAAACAATCCTGCTAGTTTCAAGAGAATATAAAATTTATGCCTGTAAAGTATATGCAGTAAATCTCTGTTTCTGTAAAAAAAATCTCTGTAAATTCTCTGTTTCAGAGAAAAATGCTTCTGGTCAATGCAGAAGCTGAAACCTACATCCCTGCACAGGAATTACAACAAAAGGAACTCATATTAATTAGGTATTTTAAAAAAAGGTTTAACAACCCATCAAGCTGAAAAACAATTGTACATTCATGCTTGGCAATACCAAAATAAACATTTGAATGTGGAAGTTTTTGTCCCAGAGGTTCATACCTATAAAAAGCAGTGAGTGTTTCCTGGCAAGCTGGAGCCCTTCTTTTCTCTCCACGCTCAGGCTGCAGAGACAGATGACGAACATGACTGAAATAAGCTACACTTGCCACTTTCAAAAAATACCCAGAAAAGCAGCACTGAAATGAGAACAAAACCTCAAAAATGACGTTTTGTTGAAAGGAAAAAAATGTCTGTGATATGTATTAATCAACTGGAGTTTCCCACTCTGTAGTTCACTGCCAGGCTGGCTGTGTTACTTACAGCACTCACCTCACATTTACACCCTGTGATGAATAAATAATCCAGAAATGGAGCCTTCCCAGCTGAGCTGCAGAGTGAATTACCTCCTGACACAACAGCTGTGTTACTTACAGCACCCACCTCACATTTACACACTCTGATGAATAAATAACCCAGGGAAGAATGGAAAAGGATGCATTCCCAAACCAACCTTATCAGTTTTATTGCCAATCAACATCTTCACAGTGCTGCTGGGGGTGGTGTACATCTCCAGCTCATTCAGCCACCTTCCTAGTCCTGTGAAAGTTGCTTTTCTTGTAATATCATACACTGAGAACAGAGGAAAAGGAGTTTAACAGCTGTAGAGCCTTGGACAACATTTCCTTCATTGTCACAGAATTTAGTCCATCCACACTTCCTAACTACTGCCTGGAAAAAACAAAAGGTGCTAGGGAACTACAGAAAGAGGCATCAACCCACACTCCTCCCACAGCTGAACACACTGGGCTGTGCTCCCTCAGGATTACAGAACACAAACACCTCTATTGGTAGCGCTGAATTAGGCCACAGAGAATATTTTAAAAAAGGTATTTTGTCAGCTAATTTCATGTATAAGTACATGCACACGCTGCTGGTAAAACATGGACTGAGTTCAAAGCCACTTTTGGGTACTGGTAACTTAATAACTGCATTTACATAAATCACTAAAGTTTAAAAATCACAGAAAGAAAATTTTGTACAGCAAAGTTAAGGTTAGTATTCACAAATCCTGAAAGGAAGAACCCCCTTGTTTTCTAATTGCTGTTGTCACATAGAAAGGGCTTTGTGTACAAAACTCAAGTTCTTACCATAATCACAACAATCACATCAATAGTTTCTGGGGGGAAAAAAAGCAAAATCATGGGGAAAAGAACACAACACAACCCCTGATTAGCCTTATTACCAGAAAACCACCCATGTGATAGCTACAAAGCTAATAATTCATCCAGTCAACAGCCTGCAGCATGACATCTCTGTCTTTTTAATTTAAGCAATAAATTGAAGCAGCAATATTTCCTGCCTGTGGTTTTGCATACCCAGTGTTTGAGCCATAATTATTCCTCTGATTATCGTGGATAACTTCCTTCTGCAAGGACATGCACATTTAGGAGAAATAAAGCCCACAATTTCTGTAATCATTCTTTTCTTCCATTTATTTCATACCTAAAACAACCCCTTGAGCTCCTCTGTAGTAACTGGGAGTCACTGTTCTGAAACGCTCCTGTCCTGCTGTATCCTGCAGAAGGAGGGGGGAAATAACCCCAAACACACAACATCAAATACATTCAGAACAACAACAACAACAAAAGGTATTTTAAACTAAACAAGATAAGCAAATTTAAAATCTTAAATCCTGAGCAGTAAGGAAAACATGAAATGGAAGGAAGTCCCAAACCTTAACTAAGGAAGACTTTAGAAGTGGTTCTGTTTGTCTGCAGCTCCTGCTGTACCATCACGACACTCATGAAATCTCAGCATGAGGAAGACTTCAGCAAAGAGAGAGGAGGAGCAGGAAGGAAGCGAGGAAACCACAAAAACGAGCTCTTGAAGCTTGCACACCTCTCAAAACCCAACACACCCCCATCTGTCTGGAACAAAACCTACCCATATGGCCAGCTGCACTGCACGGCCGTCCACCAGCATTTTCTTCACTTTAAAATCAATACCTGAGAGTTAGAAAGGGACGCTCGTCAGAAGGAACTGCTGAAAAAGTTCGGCACCCGAACACCCTGGCAGCGCCCGCATCTGCACGATCCTGGCTCCGGACCCCAAAACGAAGAAGCCCAGCAAGAAGGAGCCCAGCAAGGAGCCCAGCAAGAAGGAGCCCAGCAGGAAGAAAGGAGCCCAGCAGGAAGGAAGGAGCCCAGCAGGAACGAGTCCAGTAAGGAGCCCAGGCAGGAACGAGCCCAGCAAGAAGGAGCCCTAGCGGGAACGAGCCCAGCAAGAAGGAGCCCAAGCGGGAACGAGCCCAGCCCCGGGCGGGCGGGCGGACCTCGGGCTCACCGACGGTGGGTGTGAGGCGCGGCTCGAAGGCGCCGTCCGTGAACCTCCGCAGGAGGCTGTGGGGACAGAGAGCGCGGCCTCAGCGCGGGGCTGCGCTCGGGGCTCCCCCGCGGGCCGCTCCAGCACCTGGACTTGCCCACGCCGCTGTCCCCGAGCAGCAGCAGCTTCAGGGTGAGGCCTGCGGGCTCCATCCCGCAGCGCTCCGGGCCAGGCACCGCCGCTGCGCTCCCCGAGCGGCCCCCGCTGCTCCCGGCGGTGCGGCCCCGCCTCGGAGGCGGCGGCCGGGGCCGGGCGGGGCGGGAGCGGGCCGGGCTGGAGCCGCAGCGCCAAGGGCTCGGCCATGGGCGATTTCCAGCTCTCGGTGGAGGAACTGAACGAGCTCCTGTCTAACGGGAGCGGCTGCTACAGCCTGCCCAGCGCGCACAGCAACGAGGTGGTGCCGCGCATCCACGTGGGGAACGCGTGAGTGCGCCGGAGCGGGGGCGCGGGGCAGGCCCGGCCTGGGCGGGCACGGGGGGCGGAGGGGCCGGGCCGGGCCGGGCTGGGCCGGGCTGGGCTGGGCTGGGCTGGGTGGGGTGTGCGGAGGGCCCGGGCCGGGTGCGTTTCCTGGCGGGCAGAGGCGCAGGGCCGGACCGGGTGCTGTGTGTGGAGAGGCCGGGCCGGGCCGGGCCGGGCCGGGTGCGGTGCCCAGCGGGCAGTGAGGCCGGGCCGGACCGGGTGCTGTGTGTGGAGGGGCCGGGCTGGGCCGGGTGCGGTGTCGGAGGGTGGAGAACTCGGGCCGGGCCGGGTGCGGTGTGTGGAGGGGCCAGGCCGGGCCGGGTGCAGTGCCCGGAGGGTGAAGAACTCGGGCCGGGCCAGGTGCGGTGCCCGGCGGGCAGTGAGGCCGGGCAGGGCCGGGTCGGGCCGTGACCGTCACCGAGCAGCTCCCGGTGCTCCGAGCCCCGGGCAGTCAGGCTGCAGGACGGGATCTGCTGGATGTCAGCGGGGTTTATTTTTTACGCCACATCATGGTTTCAGTTATCCGGTCCTATCCTGCTTGTGAAAAACGCCAATCACTTGTTTTTAAAATGTTAAAAGTTGAATAGTGGTAAAATGGCTATAAAAATAGTAACATAATTGGAGTAATAATAATTTGGGCAATTTGGATTAGGATAATATGAAACAATAGAAACAAAGAGTTACAGAGGATCTGGGTACCTCTTTCTGGGCAAAATAAGCCCGAAAAAGGATACCCGTTAACCGAGGATTAACCCTTAAAAGCAACAGCCTGTTGCATATTCATACACCTCATACATGATGCAGAAATTCCATTTAAACACGGGATTCTGTCTGGTCAGTGTCAGCTGCTTCCTCTGAATCCTGACAGCGTCGTCCTGACTGAGCGAGGCAGGAAGAAGTTAGTTTCTCCTGATAATGGAGCAATAAATTCTCTTTCTCTGAAAGATTCAGGTGTCCTGTGGCTGCTATCTCAGTGTGAATCCTTTCTTTAGAAAAAAAGTATCCTACAAAGCATAGTTTCCATTTTAACATTTTGTTATAACCTAAAACCATATTAAACACACTACTTAAGAGAATTAATACAGCATTACTTTCTAACACAACACATATAACACTCATTTTAATATTTGCGAAAAGCCAATCCTAAAGTTCACATTTTTCACACTGCTGATTTTCCATTCCCTTTTTGGTCCATCTCTGTGCACTTCTTCCCTGTGAAATTGGGATTTTTTTTTAAAATACACTGGATCCCTGTACTTATTTTAGGTTTTTACCTCTTAAAGAAGTACAAGTCAAGATCATAGATTGTCACTAACTTACTCCTAAGGCAAACCAAATTATATTTGTTACTGCCAGGACATTCACATCTAGAAATGGGACTGAAATCATCCAGTAGCGAGCCTGATGTCTGACACCACCATCTCCTTCATATTTGTAGTAGTTATAAAATAGTGGTAGTAGTTTTTTCCTAGGGAAAAAAGGAAGTCATAGCTTGCAAGCTGATTTGTGCAGTAAATAATTTAAAAATAACAATCTGTTGCCACATTCAACCATGATTTCAGGATAGGAGTTCCTGTTGATGCTGAACACTCAGATGTATGCTGGTCTATATAATGTTAATTAAACCATATTCTCACCCTACTAAGCATAGGAACTCACCACTGAATTAACACTTTTTGGTTTGGCCTTGCTCTGTAGGATTTTTGTGTTGAAAGCAGAATTCTCCAGACACTGAAACTTCTCCCCTGGCACAGATGATGTCCTGCCAGATGGAAAATCTGTCAGCATTTGTTTGGGTAATGAAGTCTTACAAATATTTGGTTCATTGCCATAGTTGCTTGGCACAGACAGCAGAAAATGTAGAAGCTTCAGTCATGCATAAATCTTCATCTGCTTTCACTAGAATTTAAGGGGTGTGCAATCATCAGGAAGAAAGAAATTCTCAAGATGTTCATGGCCTTGAATTACATCAAAATTGTGAGTGAATGGACTCAGAGATTCATATAGATGTAAACTGAATAATTTGGGTGTTTATTTTTTTAGATTAGTAAGTGTCCAGCCAAAAGCCCTGGATGCATTGTCATCTCACAGAAACTTATCTAGAATGATACTGCACAAATGCTTATCTGGAGCTCAGCTTAATATTAAGACCTCTTGTATTTGCAATTTATGAGTTGAGCTGTGGGGAGTTTTAAAAAAATATTTGTTTCCATATCCAGTTAAACACATACTGAAAGCTGCTTTTAAAAACAATCTGTCTAGGCTACTTCCTTTCACACAGTGTGCAGGAACTGAGTTATCCTTCAGCTAAAGGATCTCTCACATTCTGCTGATGTTGGCCAGTGGGGCTTAGATTTTACTAGGAGACCACACAGAGTGATAAAACATGTGGGGTTTTTTATTTCTCTGGAGAGTGAGGGAAATATTGCAACTGACATAAGGAAATATTGCAACTGACATAAGGAAATCATCAGACTCAGAATGAAAAGTAGTGGGATTATGGCAAAAAAGGAGTCAATGCTCTCCTGATATTCCTTTATGGTTAGCTCCTCTTACTGTAGATTGCATCCCAGGGCACAAGCTGAGGTTGGTGCATGGTCACTTGTGTTACTGAGCAGGGTTGTTTAACTGGTTTTTAAATCATTTTATGTGGATAACTGTTAACCTTAGAAGTTAACGTGTTATTATCTCCAGTATCTCCCTACTTTGGTCAGAATTTTATGTTCAGAAAGTTAGAATTTTATGCCACAGTAGGATCTAACAGATGCAGATTCACTTTCATATGTGCATTCCTCAGTGTCAGACAAGAAATCAGCATTCTCTCATGCTCAAGTAAGGGACCATGGCTCTGAATATTTTTGTGAATTTATAACCTGTAGCTAATTCACTTTCTGGGCACATTTGGCATCTATTAACAGAAAAATCCAAGGGCTTGGTTCTCAATACCTAAATACTGAGATGATTCACCAAATTCTAATCATTTTCTTGACACTTTTTGTCATGCAGGTTCATAGCCAAGAACATAACGAGGCTGCAGCATCTGGGGATAACCCATGTTCTGAATGCAGCAGAGGGGAAATCATTCATGCATGTGAACACTAATGCAGAGTTCTATGAAGGCTCAGGCATCAGATACCATGGCATTAAAGCTAATGATACACAGGAATTTAACCTCAGTCGCTACTTTGAGGAGGCAGCTGATTTTATTGACAAAGCCCTTTCCCAGAAGGATGGTAAGGCAAACTGAAATACCTTTCTACCATGTTTTCTGTGCACTGCATAGGTTTCTTAGTCATTTGCTGTTTAAAATGCTTCTTTGCTCTTATTATTCACAGAACAACCAAGGGAAAAATTCAGATAAAGGCCCTGGATCAGGCACAAGAAGGCACAGCTTTGTCATGTGTTTATACATGCAGGTCTCCAGTACCTGGCAAAGGGAATTCTGTAGGGGTGACTTTGAAATGAGGAACAGCTGCTGCATCTTATTATAGTTTCTTTCTGGGAAGAGATGTTTTTACTTTTCCTTAGATATTTTTAGTTTTTTTCTTCTTCTTTTCTAATAAAATATTCTTTTAAAAATAAGTTAAGGGCCTAAAAGTGGTTTAAGGACATTAGAAATTACAATTTAAAGGCAGAATTGATATAAGTAATACAAATACTGAAGAGTAGTCACATAACCTGTTACATGGGGTTTTTTTTCAAATGTACAGTAAGAATACAGACTGTCACCTTATAGTTTTTATTACATTAAGTTATAATATTATTTTATGTGTTGATTGCCTCTATTTCCTAGGATTGCAGGAAAGCTGAAGGTCATATTTGCAATGTTGTTTATTGCCACATTTCTCCGTAGTGTGTTTCCTCAGAGCAGAAATCCTAGGACATAGTGCAGTGGGACAGATGGTGTTTGTGTTGTCTAGCTATTTCAACATTCCAGTTATTTCTGCACATGCCTAATTTCCTTCTTGCTTCGTGACTGAGCATTGAATAGGAGGAATGAGAACTCCCACAATTCTAGAAGTTCTTTCTCTGAAATGGGCAAAGGCGTTCTGGAGCTGTGATGTGGGTTTTGACAGATGGAAATAAATTCTTCATCCAGTTTGGTGGAGTATGAAAAATTCTAAAAATTAAATGCAACTCTTGCAGTTAGCACTGTGACTCGCTGAAACAGTCTGCAAGAGGAGAGAAGGTTTTGCTGTGCCATGACTGTACCTGCTGAGTGTAATCTCAAAAGTTTCAGGGTCAGTAAATTCAGAGTCAATCTGGATTTGCAGCAGTTCCATTTGCTGGCTCTTTCAGTCTGAGCAGTTGTTTACCACACCTACCACTGTTTTTTTAATGTGGTAAACCAGGAGGAGCCTTGGAGCTGGGTGATGTTGGAGCCAGTTTCAAGATTAACTGGCTACTGCAAATTATTAGTTTTGTTTGACATTGAAGTGTGTGACCCTGGCCTGCTGTAACCTCTTGGATGGAATAAACTGCATTTTGGAGAGCTGCCTGGCGTCCCACATCCCTCATTTTGGCTCTTACAGACACACTTGGCGCCCAACGTGGGGCTCAAAGAGTCCCATGCTCTACCGGCTGACACTTGGCAACTTTTGTCCTTCCCAACCCCCATCACCTATTATTACATTTCCCGTTGCTTTGCAGCCTAACCCTGAGCTGTGGCTGTCTCCCTGCAGGCCAGGTGCTGGTGCACTGCCGCGAGGGCTACAGCCGCTCGCCCACGCTGGTCATCGCCTACCTGATGCTGCGGCGCGGCATGGACGTGCGCAGCGCGCTCTGCGCCGTGCGCCAGCAGCGCGAGATCGGCCCCAACGACGGCTTCCTCCGGCAGCTCTGCCAGCTCAACGAGCGCCTGCTCAAGGAGGGCAAGGTCAAGCCCTAGAGCACAGCGCTGCGCTGGTTCTGTTTTCGGTTTCTCAGAGATTTAGAGGATGGGTTAGGCGCTTTAGAGACGCGAATTTCAACCGCCCGGCTGGAATTGCTGCTTGTCTAGTGAAAATGTCCGTCTGGAACTCTGTGATGTTTTCGAGATGGGACAAAATTGTGTCGCTGTTTGGAGCTGTTGCCATCAAGGGATGTTTGTAGAGGGGTGACTCAGCTGTCTTCACACACATTTCAGAGCCCCTGCAGGTTCCATAGCATATGTGGTTTGCATTGACATTGAATGTGATTTGTTTAAGCTTTGTCTTTAGTTGTCTCACCAGTTCAGGAGCACATAATCACAGATTGATTATATGCAGCTGCTTTTGTTGAAGAGCTCTGGGTGTCAGGGGCACAGACCCAAATCTGACTCTGACATGAGTTCAGGATGAACACAGTTTTATACCCTTATTATATAACTCCATATTAATTATTAAACTTCAGTTGTTCTATTGTATACATTGATTTCATCCAAGCATGGATCCTTGTAATTTGATGAGCCCTTGGGGGACACTGGACTGGGACTGTCCCAGTGCCACTTCCAGTGTCCCCAGTGCCACTCCCAGTGTCCCCAGTGTCCCCATTTCCCTGTTCCCAGTGCAAACTGGAGCTGGTGGTTGGGTCCCTGGCGTCCTGCATGGAGCTGGTGCTGAGGACAAGCCCTTGGGGACACTGGGCTGGGACTGTCCCAATGTCCCCAGTGCCACTCCCAATCCAAAAATCCGATACATTGATTTCATCCAAGCATGGATTTTTGTAATTTCTTGTTACAAATAAACAATGATTATATCCAATTACCAAACAATGATCACATTTAACAATCGTATCATTTGTCATGTAACAATCATATCTTTTATCTTGTTCATTAAATGATTATACAGCTGCAGTTTCACATGATCCATTAAAGCCTAACGTTTTCTGAGGGCCTCTCCTAACGTTTTTCCAGGCCCAGCCTTTCTTTCCAACTCCCCTGAATATCCCATGATTTTAGAAACATTTTATCCCTATATTTTCAACCAGAGCACGAGCTCCTAAAAGCCCTGGCACATCCCTTCACTCACTCTTAATAGGAGCACTGTCATTTCTAAAGCTTCTTTTTCATGCACACAGGTGCCTAAGGTTTGAATGTAGGAACTTCAGGGAATGGGAAGCAAATGTACAAATGCACAGATGCATTCACTTGGAAAAGAAAGTGCATGCAGTGTTTTGTGTGGATTTATGCAATACACAGTGTGAGAGTAAAGCCATTCAGAACCCATGCTTGATGCACACTGTGTTTCCAAGAATAGATTTTTATCTTTTCTGTTACAATGGACATGAAATAGTCTGCTATTAAATGCTCTTTTATTTTTATTTCAAAATCATAGTAGAAAAAAAATGTCAAGAGCAAATGCTGAGGGAAGAACTTGAACAGGGAAGAAATAATATTAATATTTAGAAGTGTTTGTGGTGGATGTATAATATAAGTATCCTAATATAATGCCTTTCAAAGCTTGTATGGAATTACAGTGTCTTTATCTCTTCTTTACTGTCACTGTTCAGTAACAGAATGGAATGACCTCACGTGTAGATTCCTTCCTTACAAAGCAGTTTGCACAAGAACACTCTTGACTTCTTGGATTGCTTGCATGGTATCATGAAATAAAAATGAAATTGTAATGTACCACACTGTATAGGAAATATTTACATTGTATTCAAATAAATGATGACTTGATTCTGTTTACTACAGATGAAATGAGTGTTGGGAGAGGGAGCTTTGTTTGCGCTGTGCCTGTCTTAGTGTGTAAATGTGTACCTGAGATTTACAGCACTGTATTCATGCCAGTGATCTCCCACTGCAAACTGGAATTGTTGGTTAAACCATCAGAAACCAGGGTGACTGCTCCATTCTCTCCTGTGCTTTAATGTAGTTCTAGAATGAAAAACCTTAACACTGTTTTAAAGAGAAACACTTCAATAGTAGCACGTGTGATCCCAGATGAAATTTTGTCTACTCAGGTCAGTAATCAGCAGTCACAAACCATGCATGCATTGGTTTACAATCAGAAATTGTTTAGAATCAGAAATCACAAAGGCCATCCATGCATTGTTTTACAATCAGAAACTGTTTAGCAATCAGAAATCACAAAGGCCATCCATGCATTGTTTTACTGCTGATTTTGGGGTTGTGTGGTTGGAGGTGTGGGAGAGGCAGGGGAGGCTCTGTACAGCAAGGTAAAGTTCTTGAACTTCAACTCCAGAGCAGATTATTCTGCTTGAGCTCCAGTCTTCCTGTTTTTCCTTCCACAGGATGGAGCTGCCACATCAAGGAGCCTTTTCTCTGTTGTGTCCTTCAGGTGACAGTGGAGGGACACTCTGCATGGTGTTCCCTGTCACATCTCCACTGTCAGTCAGTATTCAGTGCTGGCTTTGAACCAGGATGGTTCAGTAATAATAAGTAGTAATCAATTCCACTACCTAATTACACACCTGTTTGCTTTCTCCCATTGATCCACTTAATCAGGAGTAGATTAATTGCTTCCTCAAAATTCCAAGTTACTAATTTCATATTGTGTGAAGTAGGAGTAGTGGCTTTAGAAATAGGAATACTGGCCTTACCTTTTCTACAGTGCTGACTTTTCATACTGCAGTTTAATTTATAAATTACCTTTTAAAAATACTTTAAACATAGATTTTTTTTTTTTTTTATTGTCTCACACCATGTATTCTTAACACGTATTTGCACTATAAGGAAGAAAAAGGGAAATTCACCCTGGATGCACTTTATCCTTCACCTGCTACTTGGAAATCAAAATTCCAGTCCATTAAAGAGCTAAGAAACCATTAGGTATTAGACCTTGTTGACCTTTAATAAACTAGAATGGTTTATTAAAATTGAGTCTGTTTACTTTATGGTGATATTTCTGTCGTTGTCAGTATCAAGAAATATTGAAAATCAAAACAGGGGAATCTGTTCTTATATTCAAGATAATTTTTACTTCTTGGGACACTGGTCACTCTTATGGAAACTCTGGCCCATTTGTCTCAGTATAACAAAACTGATTTAGCAAATGTTTTGCAATATGAGAGTGGAGGGGCATAAGTAAAACAATGTTATAAATTGTTTTTAAAAGTGAGACAGAGTATCATATTTAAAATCACTGATAGGCAACTCAGCAACAAAGCCATTTCTGCTTTTAGAGCAGGCTAAAAATAGTTCAAATGTCAGAGCACCGCTCCATTAATGGATCATAGCCTTCTTCTGAGTCTTGCTCTCCAAGTACAGTCATGCTGCAAATTCCTCTGCCCATTTTAGCTGGCCAGGAAGGTCTTGTATGTCTCTAACCCACAGTGATATGCTGTATACCAAATTTCTCTTCCTGATTGTAGAAGGAAAGATACATAAAACGTGGGAATGAGAGCTTTCTTTCCTTGTAATATGAAATTGAGAATGTATTGGGAAAAAATAGAGCTTTTTATTGCTGAAATTGCTGAGCACCTGCCCTTTGCTGTGAGATCTTCCTTACAAGAATGCTTATTTAGGGAGGTACATTTGGAAAGAACTGTTTGTCGCAAACAGCAACACTCTGATGCCAGAAGCAGAACTTTTTACCTAATTTTATTTTTTATATTAGTTCTGCTAGTTTACTATGATGTTTTTAGCACAGAGACTTATCTAGTGGAATCTGTCTTAGTTTAGCACAGAAGTTTCTCCTAAAATTACTTTCTGGGCTTCACCAAAGAGCAAAACTAGAAACAGAACAAGCCTGAGAGGTGTCTTTTAAGGATTTGCTGGTGAGAATTAGTTTTAGTTATTTATTAATTTATTCTGCAAATAAATCCTGGAAATAACGAAGTGTTGGTTGTGTGTTTTAATTGTAGTTCCTGTAGGCTGATGCTGCTGGCTGGCTGACTCACCAGATGGAGCTGTAGGCTTGTTCTTCCTCCCTGGAGAGCCATCCCTGGCTCCTGAGCTGTGCTGGGGTGTGAATCCAGGGAATTCTTACCACTGGAAAAGACAAGCCACCAGAATGACTTAGCAGTGTCTGGTGGAGAATAATAAGAATCCATTTATTTTGGCTTCTTGCAGATCATCACACCACAGCATTCAGACTTTATTCACTCTGTGACATTGCAGAATTCTTCTGAGGCAGCTGGAAGTTGATTGGGAAAGGCTGCAGCATGGAAAAAAACCCCAAAAAACAAACAACTGTTTGAGAAGCAAAGTTCATGTCAAAACAGAATTCTGATCATGTCAAAATTCAGAATTTTGATCATGTCAAAAGCAGGATTCCTGGGCAGTGTGTGAAGTTTGTGCACAGAGAAGCTGGAATTGCACCTGCACAGCTTTGGGCTGGGATGCTGAGCACAACCCTCAGGCCCAGGGGTGGGCAGGGGAGCACCTGGAGCTGGAATGACTGAGGAATTTCAGGAGATGGAATGACTGAGGAATTTCAGGAGATGAAATGACTGAGGCAATTTCAGGAGCTGGAATGACTGAGGCAATGTCAGGAGCTGGAATGACTGAGGAATGTCAGGAGCTGGAATGACTGAGGCAATGTCAGGAGCTGGAATGACTGAGGAATGTCAGGAGATGGAATGACTGAGGAATTTCAGGAGATGGAATGACTGAGGCAATTTCAGGAGCTGCTTTAGCTGTGCCTGAATTGCAGGGTTCAATGCCAGTGTTTCAGGACAGTGTTTCAAGAGTTTCTGAACTCTTCTGGAGTTCAGAAAGCAGCAGCAGGGGATTCAGGCTGAGCAGGAGATGCCAATTAACTCCTGGTGGCTCTGTTTCCTCCTCAGAGCTGAGCACTGCTTTGGGCTCAGTGGGGTTGACTTTATTCCCATTTTGGGTTTGTGCTGAGCTCAGTGATGATCTTACAGAGATGTTTTTGTTGCTGCTGAGCAGGGCAGACCGAGCTGAGGCCTTTTCTGCTGGGGGTTATTGGTTTCTCTGGGTCTGGATTGAAGGCACTTGAGACGATAATTCATGTTCAGACTCAGGTGTTTATTGCTTCTTAGCAATGAAACACCCTCACAACCATGAGTTCTGCAGGTTTCATTAGCAAGGCACAAAATGGCCAACAATCTCTTGTTACACGGTCTTTTAAGACTAAACTGTCCAATTAAGAAATGACACCTAGGTTATTTTCCCTTTTAACCCAATAACTGATCACTCAAAGTCTGCAACGTGGATTTTCCTGTCCAATTACAAAATACCACCCAAACCCATGGAGAAGAAGGTAAAGGAGAGCAACCAGTCTCCACCCTAAAACCTCCATTTTGCTTCATATTTATTTCCAATTAAGAACTGACACCTAGATTATTTTCCCTTTTAACCCAATAACTGATCCCTCAAAGCTGCAATATGGACTTTTCTGTCCAGTTACAAACAATCACCCAAACCCATGGAGAAGAAGGAAAAATAAGGTAAAGAAGAATGGCCAGTCTACACCCTAAAACCTCCATCTTGCTTATAAATAATAAATATTTCCTCAATAATAAATATTACCTCAATATTTATTTCTATATTCTAAATATATTTAGGATATATTTATTTCTAATATAATATAATTTATTATATTTAATTATAATATAATACATTTATTATTCTAAATAATTACTATTTATTTCTAATATAATATAATTTATTATCTTTACTTATAATATAATAAATGTATTATTATAATTATCATATTAATTTCTACATGTCAGAAAAATATTTCTATAAATATATAAATATTTATAGAATATTTATTTCTATAGTCAAAATATTTAGAGTATTTACTCTATTATATACATAGATTATATATATATATATCATCTGTATACATTTAGATATATTTATTTCTAAATAAAATTTTAGAAATTAAATATTTATTTCTATATTCTAAATCCCCAAACTCTTAAGTTTTCCACCCTATAAGCATTTCTTGGCCTATCAGCTTTAGCTACATTATGCTGTAAATGCTTTAATCATCTAAAATTACTTTTTGTGGGTCTTTCTAGGATGTATTTTTTTATAGTTCTATTTTTTAAAAGCATTTAGTCTTTTTTTCTAAGGCTCTCTTTTGAAACTCCTTTCTAGTTCAATTTCTCTCTCAACAATATCTACCTTATTCCATGGTATTTCTAAATTAGTATTTCTTATTTTAAAGTTTGCATACACATGTATACTGTGTGAGCTTTTTGTTAGGTTTTGAGAATTTTCTACAAATCCTTTTCCCTGTGTGGGTTTGGCTCTGGCTATGGGCAAACCACAGCAGTGGCTGAGGATGGAATTGCTCAGCTCTGAATATTATATATAATATATATATATATATATATATATATATATATATATATATATATATATATATATATATATATATAATTATATATAATATTCAGATATAATGTATTCAGCTCCAGTATCAGTCCCACCCTATCAGGGCTCATTCTGAGAACACTCTCTCCCTAATAACTCTTTTTATTTTTTCCTGTGCTTCATTAAAACTACAAAAATCAAACTTTTTGGGGGAGGGAAGCAGCACAGAGCATGTCTGCTTTGCTGCAGGAAGGGCTGTGAGCAGGCAAGGAGCTACAGGGTGTGAAAAAATGTTTTTGTAGCTAAGGAATCTGAATGGCTGAGATTTGGGTTCCTTCCTGGCATCTATTAGGCCGCCCTCCTTCTTATGGACAAGAAATTTTAAGCCACAAGCTAAATATATCTTCTATTTTTTTCATTCAGAAATTGTTTTGGTATTATTTCTCCACGTGGGTTATACAGATAAATGTAATAGTTAGTAATAGTTTGTATAGAGGAGTTAATAAAGATTGTCTAAGTGCTTGGGAGAAGCTACATCAAGAAGATTTTTCTGTTTTATGTGACAGCTGATCACTCTAAATGAGATTGTTGTCAGTGCAGGCCCACTAGAGACAACAGCTTTTGGAAATATTACATGAAGAATTAACAGAAACTGAGCTTTGGTGGATGCATCCAATTTTGAGGGCATTTAAACAATGGGAATAAATAGGCAGCAAGGACTCAGTGATTGCCAGCACTGAGCTCTGTTCTGCTCTTCTGTTCTGCTTTTCTGCAGCTCTGATGTCACTTTGGACAAGGCTCTTTTGGAGAGTACCCACACATGGTGCTATTCCTGTCTGACCAAAATAATACCAAAATCCTTCTTTAGTCCCTGCTCCTTCAGGACTTGGAGTCCTTCACGGCTTGTTCAGTTCAGCTCCAAGCCAAAAATAGATTTACTACATGTAAGTAAGGAAAATGATGCTTAGAAGAACATGAAACAAAATGTGGAGCTCCTTTTTATGGAAAGGAGAGGAAAAAAAGCTCCTTGTTATGGAAAATAGAGGAAAAAAACCCTAATAATTTCCCTGCAGAGACTGAAAAGCAGAATTACTGAGCTTCAATTTCTATATTTATTCACTTTATACATTGAGCAAAGGGGAGAGGGAATTTGCTGAATAACAACAGCAAAATGTAAAAAGTCTGAAAAACCTTTGGAAAAGACAAAGTTTCATATATGGATGGAGGCAGAAGCAGGTTTTAATTACACCATTGTTAGAGCAAAACTGCAGAAAGGCTTGGCAGGTTGCAATTCATTGTAGTCTTGTCTATCACCTTTTGTTGCCAGGCTCAAAAATGAGGTAGATAAGAGAAGTTTTTGCATAACAGTTGTAAAATATTGTCACTAACCCACCCCCACACACCCATTTTATTTCACACTGACAAAAGCTGAGATGAATGAGTTGTCTGGCCCTTCCCACTTTGTATAGTCATTGGCTGGCTTGGTTCTAAAAGGGATTTTAAAAAGGGGAATAATGTGCCTTTGGCCAGGATCTGAGGCTGTCAGGGTGCTGAAAAGCTGATCTGTGACCATGCAGATCCCTTGGGCTGTGTGCGCTGTCTGTGTCCTGACACAAATCACGCTTCACTCTGTGCAAGGCTGGCAGGTGTTTAAAAATGATGCTACAGAAATCATTCCTGAGATCACTGAAAATCCAGAAACGCCAATGGAGCCGACTTTCAGCAACAACAACACCATGAACCAGGCAAAACATGGAGGAAGACACATACAACAAACTCCAGACCTCAGTGGTAAGAAAAATATCATTATTTCTGTTTGGATCGTAGCAATTTGTAAAAGAAAACTTGTGATCATCTATGTTTGTTTATTAACACTTTTAGGTGTGGCCCAGCTGCTTTAAGTGACAGGGATTTGCATCTGCTGTTGAAAAAGTATGAATATAAACATTGGGAAGAATATATTGGAGTTTACTGATGCTAACATCAGCTCTCTGTTGAATATTGCTACTCTGCAACTCCAAAACATCCAACCTGTAGAAATTAATACCTGTAGATAAAAACAAATACCTGTAGTAGATTTTTCTTAACACTTCTCTGTGTTTTGTGAGGAAATGTCACAAATTCTCTTTCCCCATTTAATATTAGGATGGGGAATGGGTTAACAGTGGAGACAATAATATAAATTTGTAATTTAGGAACATCCACACCAGCTGTGGCTAAGATCACACCAAAAGTGGCACACTGAGGTTGTGCTCAGCTAAATGAGAGAAATTTGCTGCTCCCTGACTGGCAGATCTTCAGCCAGGTTCCAGCAGCCAAAAATGCTCCAAGATCCATTGTCACTCGGCCAAGTCCTTTTGGGGAGAGACAGGAGATGGAAAGCCAACCCCAAACAGAGAAAGGTGGCTTTAAAAAAGTTTTCCACTGGAAAATAGGGCAAGTTTGGTCCTCCAGACACAGCACAAAGCACAGAGCAGCACAGGCACAGATCAAACTTAGAATTTCCACTGTTGGGCATTGCAGATCTCAGCCAGCCTCCTTTTTCTGGGGACATCTGGAAGGCAGTTGGGAATTTCTGCTGCAGCTGCCTTTAGGGCATTTAAAACCAGAGGGTTAACAATATTTTTAAAGAAATTTTTTAAAATTAATGCTTTTGAGAGTGGGGCCTTAAAAGTCTCTCATATTCCTAAGAGGGAGAGCACTCAGATCCTCCCAGGCAGCCCCACCAGGGCAGAGCAGGTTGGGTTTTTCATCTCATCTCAATACCTTCATTTTTTAACTTCTTATTACTCTGCCATCAGCTGGGAACCTGCCCCACTGATTTGTGCATATTTTTCCAAGTGGAAAGCACAGCAAGTTAAGAAATCAAAGACTGAAGGAGAGTGGGCAGTTGTTTAAGATACACAATGGTCTTGTATACTTATTTTGGCATTTTTAACATAAGGAATCAAAATGATGATCCAAAGTGGCCATTTCTGGAAAATAAGCCCCAGACCATGAGGGATTTTGCACCTGCACACTCACAGGACATAAATGCACAAATATCACCTACAGAGCTGAGGCAAGTGCTTGTATATTTAACTGCCTGTGTTTTATGGAGGTAAAATGCACCTTATTCCACTCATTTATGTATTTACAGACAGACATAATTTTCTTGACTGCTTAGGGAACTTGAGAGTGTTACTGAAGTGCATGTGGGGTTCAGTTGCCAGTGTTTTTGTCACAAGGATTGCTTAATTTCATTAATGCAGTCCTTCAAAATTTAAAACAAAATGAAATTTTGCTAGCTGTACTTTGACAAATATAAATATACTTTGACAAATATAAATCTGAGCACTGAAAGTCCTGTTTCTGTACTTCGCAGGAAAACCGAAAATTAAAATCTCTGTACAGATACTGTTGTGTCACTAATAATTCAGGGTCAGAACTCTTTTTTGCTGAACTAAACCTTACACACAGTGAGGAGAATGGGCCTAACAGACACAGCCTTCTGTGAGCTGACTTTTGAAGGCTTCCACCACCAACAATGTTCCTGAGTTAAATCCGTTCTTTTGACTAAGAAAAGAACATTCATGTGTTCACCTAGATGAAATTATTTGATAAACACTTAAAAATAAAATTTTGTGTCTTCCCAACAAGTCAATTAAACAAGGGAAAAGAGCCGCTTTTGGGAAAAATTATGTTCCTACAACTAGAAAATTTCTAAATACTTAATGCTAAGAAATCCTCTATTTTCTAATTCTTCATTTGCCTATAGTTATCCATTGAGAAAAAGGAGAGGAAAACATCTATAAAGTTCCTAATAGCCAGAAGATGCCTTTAGCTCTCTCAAGGAGCTTTGTGAGACATGTGGAATTACCACAGAGAACAGGAAATTTGGAAAAGCTGCTGCCTGAATAGTGGGAATTCCTTAGTGCTGTTGTTACCTGGGATTTCTCTAACCTGGAACCCATCATGCAAGCTAAAAATCACTTAAGAAACACTCTTTTTTTATTGGAAAAAAATTTAAATCTGGAGTAAATAGAGTTAAAGTAAATAGAGTTAAACTAGAGCTGTGGAGGAAGGTGTTGCCCACAGGTAAATGGAGCCAGGAGAATATTGCCAAAAATTCCCAGCTGCTCCATTTCCCCCTGCACATCACTGACATGAAATGTGCCTGGTGCATTTTATTCACCAATTTGTAATTTGTTACTCAAGGGTTTTACAGCTGGAGTAGCTGAATAGTCAGGAGCAGCATGGGTGAGTTTTTTGAGGTATTTCTCCTGCAAATCTGCTGTTCAAGTCTGGCTCCGAGAGAGATCTGCTGAAGGAAATCTTGTGGTTTGACACTGGCCCGACACCAGGCACCCACAAAAGCCACTCACTCACCCTCCCCTGCCACAGCTGGGCAGAGGAGAGAAAAATCAACAACAACAAAAAAATCTGACAGATTATAGCACTTATAGTCTGATAAGAGTGAGATAAACTGAGCTGGAGGTTTGGAGGTTGAGGGCAAAACAGGCTTGGTTTAGAGGTACAGAGTGACTTTATTACTACCAAAATCAGAGGAGGATAGTGAGAAGTAAAATAAACCCTTAAAAACACATTTATTCCCCAAATTGTTCCTCCTTCCTACTGGCAGCTCAGGCAGCCAGGGCATGGGGGGTTTGAGTTTGGATTAGGGTTTGGGTTAGGTTTTGGGTGCTTTCTCAAAGCTGGGAGGGAAAGAGCAGGAAAGAAGGAAAGAGCAGGATTTAAGGAAAAAATAGGAATGAAGGGTTACAGGAATGAAGGAACACAGGAATGAAAGAAAAGGAAAGAAGGAAAGAAAAGGAGTGAAGGAAAGAAAAGGAGTGAAGGAAAGAGCAGGATTTAAGGGAAGAGCAGGAATGAAGGAAAGAGCCAGATTTAAGGAAAGAATAGGAATAATGAATAACAGGAGTGAAAGAACAGGAATGAAGGAAAGAACAGGGATGAAGGATTACAGAAATGGAAGAACAGCATTTAAGGGAAGAACAGGAATGCAGGATTGAAGGATTACAGGAATGGAAGAGCAGGATTGAAGAGAAAAGCAGGAATGAAGGATTACAGGAATGAAAGAACAGGATTTAAGGAAAGAATAGGACTGAAGGGGAGAGCAGGACTGAAGGAAAGAACAGGATTGAAGGGAGGAGCAGGAATGAAAGAGTGGGACTGAAGGATTACAGGACTGAAGGAAGGGAGGAGCAGGACTGAAGAATTACAGGAAGGAAAGAGAACTGAAGGAAGGGAAGAGCAGGGTAAGAAGAGAAGAGCAGGATTGAAAGGAAGAGCAGAAATGAAGGATTACAGGAATGAAGGAGCAGGACTGAAGGAAGCGAGGAGCAGGCATAAAGGATTGCAGGACTGAAAGAGCAGGACTGAAGCATTACAGGAATAAAGGGAAGAGAAGGATTACAGGAAGCGAGGAGCAGGCATGAAGGAAGCCAGGAGCAGGCATGAAGGATTACAGGAATAAAGGGAGGAGCAGGAATGAAATAACAGGACTGAAGGGAGAAGGACTGGAGGGAAGAGCAGCACTGAGGGAAGGGAAAAGGAGGGCTGAAGGATTAGAGGAAGGCAGGAGCAGGACTGAAGAAAGGGAGGAGCAGGACTGAAGGATTACAGGAACGGAGGAGCAGCACTGAAGGGAGGAGCAGGACTGAAGGATTACAGGAAAGGAAGAGCAGGAATGTGGGGAAGAGCAGGATTAGAAGGGAAGAGCAGGACTGAAGGAAGGGAAGAGCAGGATTAGAAGGGAGGAGCAGAAATTAAGGATTACAGGAATGAAGGAGCAGGACTGAAGGGAGGAGCAGGACTGAAGGATTAGAGGAATGAAGGAGCAGGACTGCAGGGAGGCAGCAGAGGCAGTAACGCGTTCCCTGTCCGCAGATGCCGCCTTCAGCTGCCGGGAGGTTCGCACCACGCGGTTCCTGACGGACGGGCCGTGCCGCAGCCTGAAGCCGGTGAAGGAGCTGCTGTGCTCGGGCCAGTGCGAGCCCTCGCACCTGCTGCCCAACTCCATCGGCCGCGGCAAGTGGTGGCGGCAGAACGCGCCCGATTTCCGCTGCATCCCCGCGCACAGCCGCACCCAGCGCGTCCTCATGGCCTGTCCCCAGCAGGAGACGCGGACTTACAAATTCCGGGCGGCCACGGCCTGCAAGTGCAAGCGCTACACCCGCTACCACAACCAGTCCGAGCTCAAGGACTTCGGCAAGGACGTGCCCCGGCCCCAGAAGAACAAGAAGCCGCATCTGGCCAGAGCCAGGAGCGGCAAATCCAACCAGCACGAGCTGGAAAATGCCTATTAGGAAGGAGGGAAGGATGGATGGAAGGATGGAGGTGGCTCTGGGTTGTTGAGTTTGTGAGGTGCCCGGGATGAGGTGAGAGGTGAGAATCTGGCTCCTATGTTCTCAGAAGGCTGATTTATTATTTTATGGTATTGTATTGTATTGTATTAAAAGAATATACTAAAACTAAGAGAAAGGATACAGCCAGAAGGCTTGACAAGAATGATGATGAAAAAGTCGTGGCTGACTCGTCAGACTCCGACACAGCTGATGGTGATTGGTCATTAAGTAAAAACAATTCACATGAAACCAATCAAACCTGTTGGTAAACAATTCCAAAGCAGCAAAACAGGGAGAAGCAAATGAGATAATACTGTTTTCACTTTTCTCTGAGGCTTCTCATCTTCCCAGGAGAAGAAATCCTGGCGAAGAGATTTTTCAGAAAATGTGGCAGTGGCACTGGGTGACACAGACCAGCAGCTCCAGATGTTTGCTGAACCATCAAAAGGCACTCGGAGGTCACACCATGATGTTCTGACTGCAGAAGGTTCCAATTCCTTCTGCTGAGCTGGGTCAAAGAGGCCAAAAATGGGTCAGATTGTAGCACTTATGTGTGATAAAGAATGAGATAAATGCAGCTGGAGGCACCTGTCACTACAGGACACAAAATAACACGCAGCTCTCTCAAGGCAAAAAGAGAATTTTTAATTTCTGGCTCCAGTATTTATAGATTTCCAAAAGTGACAGTGGATTGGAGGGTGACAGTGCCACCTCTCCAATGACACTGGACAAACCAACAGTCTGTCCAATTTCTCCTCCTCCAGAAAAGAATGCAAAACAATAAGTTATTTACAGAAAGCGTGTGAGGAAATTTGTTACAAGAATGTAAACATCAGGAAGCTTAGAAAAACTTAAATATGAGTTTTTCAGGAGAGAAGGACCCTTCCATGTGCATGCTGGACAAATAAATTAAAAGTTTTCTCCCCCAGTCTCACAGGTTTGCTGCTGTCACTCACTCGGGGTGTCCTTCCTGCAGCTCAAAGAATTGCATCTTATCTTGCTCCCAGCACTGGGCAGTTATTTATGTCCTGGAAAACAAAAATACATGCAGGCCTTGTGGATAATCAACCAGTATTTCTGGGGAGAATTAAATTCTTGAGTTCACCAGAAAATATTTAGCACTAGATTTTAAATGTAAAACCATTAGATTATTAGATTATTAAGTTCACCAGAACACTTTTCGCACTAGATTTTAAATGTAAAACCATGAGATTTATTGAGTTCATCAGAAAAATCAGGGTGACAGGAGGTGCATGGCAATCTGTGTGTCCTGGAGGAGCGGGGAGGCAGAGGAAAGTGAAACTGGTGTGGAGACAGGCGCTCTTTGCTTTATTCCACTCATTTATGGGAACAGAATCTTGGGATCCCTTCCCCAGACCAGGATGCAGAACAAGGCTGCAGTTAGGGAAGCACCAGGAGAATCTCTGAAGGAGCCCTAGAAAGTTTGGGGGCAGCGGGGATTTCAAGTTTGGGGTAGCAGGGATTTCAGGTTCTGGTGGATGAAGTCAAATTGTTGGGAGATGAGCACATTACCAGATGTCCTCGTGCGCCAGGCGTTGCCTCTCGAACCGAAATGTGACATTAATGTTCTCAAAACAGAAGTAAAAGTGTGACAAATCCATCTCATATCTTTAATTAAAAGATTATGGGGTTGATAAATTCAAAACTGGCAACTAGAACCATATTGATTTGGGAACAATGATTTGTTTTAGGGACAATTCAACAAATTCCCCTGGAACTGGAGTGGAGCATATCTATGAACAAGATGCTCCTTTCAAACCAGATAAGCTCACTGATGTTTGTCCTGTAAGCAGCTAACATTATCCATAGTCTAACATAGAATATAGTGATTATTCCTTATTTTCTAGAACATGTTTGACTTTAATATCAGCTTAGACACATCCATTTACATTTTCTGTTCTGTAGAGGTTGGATTATCTCGCCACACACTCTGTAGCAGTAAAACTGTGCAAACCAAGCTCTGGGAGTGAGGTGGTGCTTCTGCATTAAAAGTGAGCCTCTGCTAAGTCACGAATTCCTCTAGAAAAGTCTTTAGGATATGCGACTTTGTTTTTTCTTTAGGTTGGCAGCAATTTTCCTTTACTTAGCTTCTCAACACTCAGAGTAATGTTTGTGTTTTTACATTAAAGGATATTGTTAGAAAGTGAATTGTCAAATGCTGTATACATCCTGTAGAATTTATGCTGAAATAATATAAATGTGGAAATTTGAAATGTTGGTAGATTTTTCAGTTGTTTTATGTGGGACCAGAACCTAGGGACAAAAGATATCATTTCAGAGAGTGAATTATGTATTTATTTTTTTTTCCAGAAAATTATTTATGCAATGTTTCAACTTGTAGAGAACGAGAAGTAATACTGCTTTAAAAATACTAGTCTGTTATTTTTAATTTTAAATAAATTGTTAATAAAGTAGAAAAAATGATTAATTCCAGAAAGACTCATTGATTTCCAGCTACAGTATAAAGCTGATTTCATGCAAAGTCGGGGATTTACAGAACAGTCAGGGTGTCAAGTCCATTTTCTGGGATTAAAATTGAAATCCTGAATTCTACCAACCTTACACACCCCTAAAGAAACTCCATCCTGGAGCTCCTTGCTCTGGTACAGGAGGTTTCTCATGGAAAAATTCCTCTTGGGCACATGAGCAGCTCAGAAATATTTCCATATTCTCATTTCTGCTTCCCCCAGACATTCCCTGATTTGTGTGTTCACAACTGGATAAAGCCACCAAAGAAAACAATAAATCTGTGAACTCAAGAGATCTCAATCAAGAGATCTTGGTTGAAATCTGATTGCTTCAGATTTCCTTCACTGAAAAAAGAAAGAGAACTAGTGTGGAATCCCCTTTGCAAGGGCTGCCAAGCAACAATTAAAATCTTTTACACTTTGGTATTGTAGAGCTATACTCGTTTCCATTTAGTCTTTAAGCAACATTTTCCAATAAAATCAGAGAAAACTGATCTTGGGCTGCACATGGCAGGCAGGTCTTTCAATGCAGATGTAAAATGAGCAGCTTTTTCAATTTAAACCAGTATATAAATTGTCCTTTCCTTGCCATGACTTGATACATAAAGAACAATTTTAGGAGAAAATATCACTTTTAAAACTAACTTCTCCTGCTGATTTGATTCGGGGAAAAACATAAAGCCCTGCATAAAAACCCAAAGTAAACCATAAAAAAAAACACATAAAAACCCAAAGTAAATAATAAAAAAACACATGAAAACTCAAATTAAACCATTATCACAACTGCAAAGACATTTTCCAAACTTATCTTTGCCTTCGTGAATTTGAGCCTTGAATTTCAGAATTCAGTTTGAGCTCTGCAAGCAGTGCTGAAGTGAGAAAAGCAGTTCAGCTCCCTGGAAAGCTGCTCCAGTCTCTCAAGCATCTAAAATCAATGAAATATTGGTTTTTAAATATGGATTGTGATCAATGCCAGTGAGAGAGACTGGCTGCACTTCATCTCAGACTCCACCCTGGGTTCCGGGCAGTTCAGAAACATCAGGGCTGGTTCAGGTGGACCAGAATTGTCTTTGTCCCAAACATTTCACCTAGAAGAGATCTTCCTGCCCCAAAAAATCATATTCCTACCCCAAAAAACATATTCCTACCCCAAAAAAACACATTGTCCCACACAGTTCTTGTTCAAAAGTGTCAATGCTTTCTGCTGGCAAACTGCCACTCAGATCTTGCATTTTTCTGGCTCACAATGTAAAGATTCATTCTTTGCAAGCCATAAAAGCTTTTACAAGAACCCCAGAGGGTGAAGAATCCTTTTATGCTGTATTTCCTCTCAAAATCCATCCTGTTTGCAGTGAGTTCTCACCGGTTTTAGCTCAGGGTAAAGGTGGATGAGAGGAACACTGCAGAAGTGACTGATTTTCTGTAATTTTTCTCCTGGAACACTCACCTCCAACCAGCACTTCTGCAATTTATGCTATCAGGAGAGGAATGGGAAATACTGTTTTGCTAAGAGCTGGAAAAATCAAAATACAGGATGTTACAGAGGTGGAATGCCACATTCTCCTCCACCACATCCATATGGATTCTTTTCAGAGAATTTGGGATTGTTTATGCATTTATTTTTTTATTTTTGCAATCACTCTCTATTTTCTAACCTCTAACATTGCTGTGCATAATTTCAGAGGAGAAAGCATCCCTAACTGTGGGTTTGTAGGAAATTTGAGTTTCTCCTTTACACAAAATTACATATTTTCAGTTCTTTTCAAAGAATGGACAGTGATCTGCTGTGTGCTCCTTCAACAAAAGCAGATTAGATTAGATTATTAAATTAGATAATTTTTCTTTGGAATTGTAAATTCTTCAAATGAGAGTGAATGTCTTCATTGTAATTTTTAAAATAAAACAGCACAATTGTGCATTTTTTAGGTGCTGCTGAGGTATCAGCAGTAACAGGTCACTGCTTTTACCCAGAAAAGAAATCAAGTCACTTTTTTCAGACAGAATCCATGATTCCTCCAAATCTCTGCTTTTCCACCTCATTTTTATTTCCAACGATTTGTGTAGCCTGTGGCACATTCTCTACAATGCACTCACTGACTTAAAATAGTCACTGTGCTCACTTCATTTCTTTTTTCTGGCAAAAGTAGAATCCTGCTATAATAAAAAAAAAAAAAGAAAAAAGAAAAAATGAAAAAAATAAAAAATAAACAAATTTTTAAAAATGAAAAATAAACCTACCAGCAGAACAAGGATCCTGCTGCTATCCACAAGGTCCCAAAGATTTTGCACAAAGTTCATCTTTTTAATTAGAAATTGAACAATAAAGAGCATAACTTTACCCAGTGAGGTCCTAGGCCCAGAAAACACATCCCATGTATGTTCTGCAATGTGGTTGAGAAAATCAGCATTGTGAAATACACAAGGCATAAACATGTAATTTTTTTTTAGCCATATGACATCAACTTATAATTA